TTTCTTCTTTAACTTTTTATTTGGAACAATGGAAGATTACCTTTTATAAATTCTAAGTTCTAATGTTAGTTCTGAAATTAACTTAGTTGTATAGGAAATTTGTACTTCTTACCCAAGGGTCTTCAACTTTTTGATGGGAAGGGTGAACTAATGAAGGACAATGTAAATGATGTAGTTGAGAGAACACAAATTTTAAAGTAAGTCCTTAGGTTTGATCCTAAGTCTTCCACCCTGATCAAGATATTGTTACTTTTTCTCTCAGCCCCAGGTTCCTCATAGGTAAAATGGGTATAATATTACCTTCCTCAAAGGGATGTTGTGAGAATTAAATGAGAGGTGAGGTGCATGACATACACAGGCACCCCTGTGCCAAATATTATCTTTCTCCAGAGTTGTTGCAAGGGAAGAAATTTATGTGGAAGTGTAAGCACAGAGCCTAGCCCATAGCAAGTATCATATAAATATTCATTTCCTTTCCTTTCAAATATTTATCTAAGTTGGAGCATTTTATTACTGGCCAGTAGTCACACAAAGTCTAATGGAGTTGAAAATCCTATGAAAAATATAAATAAACAGGAATCTAACTCACGTATTTGACATATTCTTTCCACTGTTGCCACCACTGCATGGAGATGATAAACCAATTGTGTCCTGGTTGCAGACCATATCTGCTCTCTCGTTCTAACCATCCTCTGCACATACAAAAGAAATTCAATACATCAAATGAAGTTGTGTGGAAACATATAACACCATCCACAAATTATCATTAGAAGTTTTACAAAGAAAAAACATGAAACGAACAGATGTACTCAGGAGAGACTGCCACGATTTAAATTAGTGAAATATTATTTCCATTGATAAGCTAATTAAGAGTCATGGAACACTATCAAGCATTATACTGATATTTTTAAAGACAGCTTTACTGAGGAATTATTTACATAATATAAAATTTACCTATTTTAAATGTAAAACAACAATTTTGGTAAATTTAGAGATGTGTGCAACCATCATCACAATCCACTTTCAGAACACTTAGAACATGTCAGTTAGTGCAAAAAGATCATCATCTGTGCCCATTTTTAGTCAATCCCTATTACTACCCTCAGCAATAGGAAACCACTAATCTATTTTCTGTCTCTTATAGATTTGCCTTTTCTGAATTATTTATGTAAATGGGATAACACAGCACATGGTTTTTCACATCTGGCCTCTTTTATTTCACATAATGGTTTTGGGGTTCATCTATTTTAGCAGATATCAGTTGTTTGTTCTTTATTCCTCAACAGTATTCTATTGTACGTATATACCACATTTTATCTATCCAACAGGTGAAGAACATTTGTAACTGGCAAACCAATATCCAAAGTGGCTACACCATTTAATATTCCCACGGGCAAAGTAGGAGGGTTCTAGTCTCCTCACATTCTTGCCTATACTTGTTGTCCACATTTTCTGCCATTCTAATGGGTGTGAAGTGATGTGGTATTGTGATTTTTCAAAAAATATTTTTAAGGTAAAAATCACATAACATGAAATTAATGATTTTAATGCATACAAGCATATAATTCAGTGGCATTTAGTACGTTCAAAATGTTGTGCAACCACAACCTTTTATTAAGTTCCAAAACATTTTCATACACCCCAATTAAACAGTCATCCGTTAAGCAGTTATTCTCCATCCCCATTATCCATTTCTCCCAGCCCTTGGCAACTACCAATGTGTTTTCTGTATCTACCAATTCACCTATTCTAGATGTTTTATATAAATGGAATAATTTACTATGTGACCTTTTATGTCTGGCTTCTTTCCCTTAGCATATTTGTGAAGTAAATCCATGTTATAGCATATATTATTTAATAGTACTTCATTCCATTTTATGGAGGAATAATATTCCATGGTAACGTATACCATGTCTTGTTGATCTGTTCATCCACTGATAGATGTATAGACCATTTCCACCTTTGGATACTGTGAATAGTGGTGCTATGAACATCGTGTTCAAGTATTTGTTTCAGTGACTGTTTTCAATTCTCTTGGGTATACAGCTGGATTATATGGTAACTCTATGTTCGGGAATTACCACACTGTTTTACACAGTGGCTGCACCATTTTACTTTTCCACCAGCAATATATGAGGGTCCCAATTTTTCCATATCCTCACCAAAACCTTCCATTTTTACAATTATAACAATCCTAGTGGGCGAGAAGTAGAATTTCACTGTGGTTTTAATTTGTATTTCCCTATTCACTACGCTGAGCATCTCTGCATGTGCTGATGACCATTTGAACATCTCTGGAGAAATGTGTACTGGAGTCCGTTTTTAGTTACCTATTTTTTAATTGGGTTGTTTGCTTTTTGTTGTTATTATATTCTTTATATATTCTGGTTACTAGACCTTTATCAGATACATGATTTGCAAATATTGTCTCCCATTATGTAGGCTGTCTTTTCAGTTTTTTGATAATATCCTCTGATGTACAAAAGTTTTTAATTTTGATGCAATCCAATTTATTTTTTCTTTGGTTGCTCATGCTTTTAGTGTCACATCTAGGAATCCATTGCAAAATCCAAATAATTTTTGAAGGAACAGTTTTGTATTATTATACAATCTATATTATTTTATAAGATTTGGAGTGGAAACAGAAGCAGGGAATAAAATAGTATTTCAGAATATTCCCATTTTGTAAAAATTTTACATGCATCATTGTAGGCATATATTTAAGTGGGTATGTGAATATTAAAAATGTCAACAGCAATTATCTGTAAATACAGAGATTATGGACATTTTTGTTTAGCACTATTTTCTAATTTTGCTACAATAAACATGAAATTTTTTGTACTAAAGAAAACTGGCTATCTTTTATCTTACATCTTTTTTCTTTCAAAAAATTAAATTTAGAATTCAGGGCAATTTTATTGTTAAATAGGATTTGACCTCTAAATTAGTCCTGTTCCTTGTCTAGGAAGGTACTTCAATAAAAATATATCACTATGTATCCATTTTTGAGAAACAGCTTCACTGTGATGATTACATTAACATGGGACATGCTATTACTTAATAACCAATATATTTTAGGTGTTTGAAATTTCAACTACATAATGAAAAATACCCAGATTGAAACTATACATTTACCTAATAATTTGTCCTTCTTCTTCTGGAGTAGCTGGTCTTAATCCCAGAACTATATGACATACCTACGGGGAAAATAAAAACAGTAAATCAAACTTTATTAACTGCATAATATTTAACATTCTCTGTATGAGATCTACTTTCTAGACAGGAATCTGAATTAGCAATTGCATTCAACTGATGTATTACCAATGATTCATCTGAGCAAATTTTAACTCTAGCTGTGTGGCTTTTGTTTTTATTATTTTTTATTTTTTTTTTTTGAGACAGTGTCTCACTCTGTCGCCCCAGGTAGAGTGCAGTGGCATCATCATGGCTCACTGCAACCTCAAACTCTTGGGCTCAAGTGATCCTCCTGTCTTAGCCTACCGAGTAGCTGGGACTACAAGGGTGCCACAATGCCCAGCTAATTTTTCTATTTTTAGTAGAGATTAGGGCGGAGAGTGGGGTTTTCACTCTTCCTCAGGCTGGTCTCAAACTCCTGACCTCAAGCAATCCTCCCACCTCAGTCTCCCAAAGTGCTGAGATTACAGGAGTGAGCCACCATGCCCAGTCCATTAATACTACACATTTTAATATAATGTTCTTATAAAAGTATATTTTCATTGTTGTAAAGTATACAACTGGCTGCATGTTCTGTAATTTATTTATCCAACTAATATTGACAGATATTCAGGTCATTTTCTAGTTTTGGCTGTAACAAAGACTGCTTATAAGATATACATGTTCCTGTAGGGTATACACATGGGGTATATGTGACTTGCTGGACCGCAGGGTATACATATGTCTAACTTTCATAAAAATTGCCGAACAATTTCCAAAGTGGTTATACCAATTTATATTCCCACAAGCAATGAGTGAGAGGTTCCACTTGCTTGTTATCCTTAACAATATTTCATATCACTTAAAAACTAACCATCTGGTGGTTACTTTGAATAGTAGTATTCCAAGTATGGTTTTGATATATATTTCCATGATAACTAAAGAGATTAGTAGTCTCTTTTCATAAATGTATTAGGTATTTGGATATTTCCTTTTTTTATAGTACCTGTTTAGGTTTTTTGCACATTTTTATATTGGGATTCTGTGTTTTTCTAACTAATTTTTGTTCTTTTTATGCCCTAGATACAAGTCTTTTATTGCATACAAAAGTGCAAATATTTTCTCCCACTTTGTGGCTTATCTTAATGGTATCTATTTATAAAAATTTATAAATTTTATTGAAGTCCAAGTTAATCTTTGTCTTTATGGTTAGTGTTTTATATTCCCTGTTTAAGAACTCTTTGCCATCTCAAAATCATTAAAATATTCTCTTACACTTTTATTAGTAGTTTTTTTCCCCCACCTTCATACTTAGGTCTGTATCCTACATGGAATTAATTTATGTGTGGTATAAAGTAGGAATACTGATGCATATTTTTCTCCATTTGGCTACCAACTGACCCAGCAGCATTTAATTAAAAGATCATCCTTTCCCTTCTATACAGTACTGCTGTCTTTGTTATAAATCAAGTGACCACATATGTGTAGGTCTACTTAAGGACTCAAGACTGTTCCACTAATCTATTTGTCTAATTTCATGCAAATATCATTGTCTTAATTACTGTTGTTTTATAAGTCCTAATATCTGGTAATATAAGCCCTCTAACTTTGTTCTTCAATATTTTCTTGGCTATTCTTGGACCTTTGCACTCTATGTATTTAGAATTATCTTGTAAATTTCTAGAAACAACAATGACAGTAATAAACCTTTTGGATTATGATAGCGTCAAATCTATAAATCAAGAGGAATTAACATCTTTACAATATTGAGCCTTTCAATCTATAAATTTGGATTAATTATTCCTTCTGTATTGGTTTTCTATTTCTATTGCTGCTGTAACAAATGACCACAAAAACAACACAATCTCTCTCTTTCTCTCCCCACCTCGGCCCCTCTCCTCCCACCACAGTTCTTCACTTTTAAAAGATGCATGTGATCACACTGGGACCACCTGAATAATCCAGGCTATTTTTTCCATCCTTAATTCTTTTTTCTGAGACAGTCTGCTCTGTTGCCTGGGCTAGAGTGCTGTGGCATCAGCCTAGCTTAGAGCAACCTCAAACTCCTAGGCTCAAGTGATCCTCCTGCCTCAGTCTCCTGAGTAGCTGGGACTACAGGTGAGCACTACCACGCCCAGCTAATTTTTTCTATTTTCAGTAGAGATGGGGTCTCACTCTTGCTCAGGCTGGTCTTGAACTCCTGAGCTCAAGTAATCCTCCAGCCTCGGCCTCCCAGGGTGCTAAAATTACAGGCATGAGCGACCATGCCTGGTCACATCTCTGAATTCTTAACCTGATACATCTGCAAAGTCCCTTTTGACATGTAAGATAATACATTCACCAGTTCCAGGAATTAAGTGTACAGATATGGGGAGGAGGGCAGCATTATTCTGTCTACCACACTCTTTAGAATTTGATATTTTTTAACAAATGTACAAAAGAGAGGATTCTGATTATGTTTAGCATGCTTCTTGGCAAAAAAGGAGTGGAAATAAAGATAGTACACCTCACTATATGAGGTGCATTCAAACCAGGTGAAGAAAAAAAAGATACTATCTCAAGAATGGTTTTCAGATTAATTCTATTGACACTTACATGCGCTAGGTTTTAAATACCCCACACACTCAGCCAAGTGTGAGATCTTGGCAAATAAAATAAGAGTATACTTCAATATTGTATCACTAAATTTACCAGCTAACTCTACCAATTTTAAGATATAGATAGAAAATAAAACAATTTAGCATAACTGCCTGCTTACTCATATATTAATTAAAAATACAATTTTGGAAGCATATCTGAGTATATAATAAAGCAAGTACAGTAAAATGTAATAATAAAATTTAGGTGGTAGGTAGATTATAATATTCACTGAAAAAATCTTTCAGCTTTTCATAATAAAATGTTGGAAACACACACATAAGCAAATCTCAAGTATATATTTATGTATAAGTTAGAGTCACAGAAAAATAGTGCCAATCCAAGCCCCTGATAAGAATGACAAAATAGGAAAGGCAATACCAAAAGTCAATGCTACAGTATGTGAGAACAAGATGACTCAGACATAAACTTAAGTGATCAATATGTTCATATATTGAATCTGAGATAAAGCAGTTTTAAAATTAACAATAGTGAAAGAGCTTACAGAACCTACTACTGAAGATACTATTTTAAAAGAGATGAAGACAGTTGACCAATTTTCATGTTACCAAGCAAGTCAGTTCTGTTTATAGTGATCTGTATTATTTTCATATATATTTTATAAAGCTATCAACTTGAATTCCTGCTGAAAATTATAACTGATAGTAAGACAATTGATTTAAATGGATATTATATATATTTTAAATAAATAAAAATGAGTCATTTGCTCTAAGGAAGAGAACAATTTTCATTTATTCCAACATAACTGTGTCACAGACAAGTTATTCTTTATTTAAAATGGAAGATCATGAATGGTTTGGTATGATATAAGCCATATATCAATAGTTTGGTATGATGTATTTCTGTCTCAAGGGTTAATTACATGATATATGATATAAACATACCAAACCATTCTAACCTTCAAGGGGTACTTCTACAAGGAAAGGAAAATAAAATAAGAAACTAAAATAATCACTATCAATCTATTAAATTAACTTAAATACTTATGAAGAACTATGAAAAATGGGAAAATGTAAATATCTTTAAAAATCAGAGCAAGAGAACTAGTTTAACTAGGAAAATACTTCAAATCTGGAAAGCTCTATGACTTAACGTTCACTCCTGTTAGCCTTCCTTCCTTTTCAATCTTTCTTGGACCTTCTAAAGAATAAAATTCAAGAAACAGCCTTACTGCTAAGATGATTTCCTAACTGGAGGGACTGAATACTTTGAAAAATTCATAGTTACCTCCTTATGATCCATCTTTCTATTCACACTGCCTTATTTATTAGGAAGGGCCTTACAGTGAAGAAAAATAGTAAATTATGATGAATTTTGCAATTTAAATTGTTTATGTCTACATGCTGTTCTATCATGAGTATGAGATAAACGAACATAGTCACCTACATTCTACTTTCCTATATCCCAGGGTCACGATTTTGAGAAGCTTCAGCAGGCACTCATGCTCTGTCTTACCGTCTTTCAGGGGGTGTGTAGGATGATGTAGTTCTTTTTATAACATATAGTTTTGCCAGTTAGACACAACAACTCTAGCTATTATATGATGGAAAGGATGCAAAACTACTGGTACTACTACCCTCTATACCTGTCATTTACCTTAAACATACCTGGAAAAGGAGATTCAAAAATTCATTGGCAAGAACATTTTTCACACTCCAGATCTGATAGTCTTCCAGAGTAAGATGACCCATCTGAAAGAGAGACAGTAAAAAATCTCATGTTAAGAATATCCTTGTATTTTATACCATTCGAATAAATCTGGTTTATTAAGCTTATATTAGTCGTGTTTCTGAAAGCAATAATTTACAGTAGCTGCTGTGTGTTGACCTGAAAGGCTAGCTAGTATAAATTTAAAAGTGACAAAATTTACATTAAATACAAATGCCATTTGTAATTCTGTTCAAGCAGTCAATGGTAACAAGGCAGCTTATCATTGATAATCTTTCTCCAATAACACCTGGAAAATAACTTACAATATTTCTGCTTCAAGGGTTTATTACGGAAAATCACAGAAGGCCCTGGGTAGGCAAAATGGCACATTTACTAATTTTGAAACCAAAAAGCAGACTATCTGGATTATGCTCTTTCATTTTAACAATCTCCTAAGACATCTGGCAATACTAACAGCCTTCTTAGAAATTTAAAGGAAATTCATATCAAGAATGAATTTCTATATTATATTTCCTCAAAATTCAATTTAACATTACTTTTATAAATTGAGTGAAGCAACATTTTTGTCATGTCAATGTGTACCAAAAATTACATACGCATAATAGAGGCAAATATGTATATTTTTTCTTGTCAGGTAAAAATATAACCAAATGTTTGTTACTTCACGTGTTCAATAATTACCTAACAATCCTAGATGAACAATGTTTTTAGCTTTTATTATTTAATGATATTTCTATATTCTCTTTTCATTACATATCATATGATATGTAAGATTTTAAATCACCATGATTATAATTACCAGCTTTCTTGATACCATTTCTATTTAGGTATATTAATACTAATCTAAATGTTGGCTAAAATTAGAAAAGTAGTATCTTCCTCTTTGCTTTCCTAACTCCTCTGCAGTGCAGAAGGTAAACAAGTGTAAGATCATTCCTGTATGTTTGTCCAAATGCATTTAATAACAAAATTTTATATAAAGGCAATCTGACTGTATATGGTTTAACTAGGGTATATAGATATAGATATTTAGTGAATTTCACAAACAAGTAAGAAATACTGTCCATTTTCTTAAACACTTTTAGACAACTAAATCAATAAAGATATTCTAGCAATATTATTTTCCCTCACTTTCTTTTATGCCTCAAATATACTGGAGGCAATCTTCTATATTAACAAGAAAAATACATTCACATTGTTTTTAAAATAGAAAAAAAATTGACTTGCGGAATCGTTAAAGTGTATACTTCAACTGTTTCATAACCAAACAACAGATATATGAGGGATTTAATAGTTAAGAAAATCTCCCAAGTCCAGGTAGAGAAATAAGCTAAACAGAAAGGAAGAAAACGGAAAAGTCCTCATTTTTGTTTTTTCAAACAAGTTCATGTTCTAGAAGTAGAAGGCATAGAGAGGGGGTAAGCAAACCACCAGATTATGACTAACATTGAATCATATAATCTTTCTTATCACAATCACTTTTTGAAATTGTCCTGTTCACCGACAACAACAATGAAGTGGTCTGAAGAGGCTTTTTCTCCACCCCCTGCCAAATACAGTACAGCGGGTCCTTGAATATCATTTTGTTCAAGGTCGTTTCAATATAATACTTTTTTTCTTTTTTTTGAGACAGAGTCTCACTCTGTTGCCCTGGCTAGAGTGAGCGCCGTGGCGTGAGCCTAGCTCACAGCAACCTCAAACTCCTGGGCTCAAGTGATCCTACTGCCTCGGCCTCCCGAGTAGCTGGGACTACAGGCATGCGCCACCATGCCCGGCTAATTTTTTTATATATATATTTTTAGTTGTCCAGCTGATTTCTTTCTATTTTTTTCAGTAGAGACAGGGTGTCACTCTTGCTCAGGCTGGTCTCGAACTCCTGAGCTCAAACAATCTGCCCGCCTCGGCCTCCCAGAGTGCTAGGATTACAGGTGTGAGCCACTGCGCCCGGCCGTTTCAATATAATATTGATGAGAAAAACAAACTGATTCCCAGCCAGGACCGCTGTCTGTGTGGAGTTTGCACCTTTTCCCCATGTTTGTGTGGGTTTTCTCCGCGTACGCTGGTTTCCTCCCACTTCCCAAAGATACATGTGTTAGGTTAATTCGAGTGTCTAAATCAACCCAGTACAGTGCAAGATCTGCTGCTACAGAGAGGAGTATCAACAGCAGCACCATGGCAACAGAAGAACCTCGAGGACTACGTGGGATTTGCCAATCTCCCAAAGCACGTACACAGAAAATCAGTGAAAAGAGGGTTTGAATTCACACTTATGGCGGTAGGTGAATCTGGATTGGGAAAGTCAACATTAATCAACTGATTATTCCTAATAGATTTGTATTCTTCAGAGTATCGGGTCCTTCCCATAGAATAAAAAACACTGTACAGGTAGAACGACCCAAAATTTTAATCAAAGAAGGTGGTGTTCACTTGCTGTTCATAATAGTAGATACCCCAAGATTTGGAGATGCAGTGGATCACAGTAATCACTGGCAGCCTGTCATCACCTACATTGATAGCAAATTTGAAGACTACCTAAATGCAGAATCTTGAAGTGAATGGATGTCAGATGCACTGTTGTTTATGCTTCATTGCTCCCTTTGAGATATGAACCTCAAGCATTGGATATTGAGTTTATGAAGTGTTTGCATGAAAAAGTGGGTATCTTCCCACTTATTGCCAAAGCAGACTGCTCACATCCAGAGAATGTCAACAGTTTAAAAAACAGATAATGGGTCGGGCGCGGTGGCTCACGCCTGTAATCCTAGCACTTTGGGAGGCCGAGGCGGGCGGATTGTTTGAGCTCAGGAGTTCGAGACCAGTCTGAGCAAGAGCGAGACCCCGTCTCTACTAAAATTAGAAAGAGATTAATCGGACAACTAAAAATATATAGAAAAAATTAGCCAGGCATGGTGGCGCATGCCTGTAGTCCCAGCTACTGGGGAGGCTGAGGCAGTAGGATCGCTTGAGCCCAGGAGTTTGAGGTTGCTGTGAGCCAGGATGACGCCATGGCACTCTAGCCCAGGCAATACAGTGAGATTCTGTCTCAAAAAAAAAAAAAAAAACAGACAATGAAAGAAATGCAAGGACATAAAATTAAATGATGCAAATTTCCAGAAACAAATGATGAAGAAGAAAATAAGCTTGTTAAAAAGATAAAGCCATTCTGGGCAAAATAGTGAGACTCTATCTCTACAAAAAATAAAAAAAATAGCCAGGCATGGTGGCACGCACCTCCCAGGCTGAAGCAGGAGGATTGCTTGAGCCCAGGAGTTGGACGTTACACTGAGCTATGGCCACTGGATTTTAGCACAGGGTGACAGAGACAGATCCTGTCTTAAAAAAAAAAAAAGATAAAAGACCATTCACCTCTTGGTGTGGTAGGTATTAACAGTAATACTACCATTGAAGTTAATGGCAGAAGGTCAGAGGAAGGCAGTATCCTTGGGTGCTGCTGAAGTTGAAAATGGTGAACACTATGTAACTTCACAGTTCTAAGAAATAAGTTGGTAAGAACACACATGCAGAACTTGAAGAATGTTACTAATAATGTATACTATGAGAACGACAGAAGCAGAAAACTGGCAGCTGTGACTTATAACGGAGTTGATAACAATTAAGAATAAAGGGCAGCTTAGTAAGAGCCCTCTGGCACAAACAGAAGAAAGAAGGAAGCATGTAGCTAAGTTGAAGAAGATGAAGATCAAGTTGGAACTGGTGTCTGAGATGAAGGTTAATAAAAAAGTTCAAAAACTGAAGGACTCCGGAGCTGAGCTCCAATGGCACCATGAGAAACTGAAAAAGAATTTGGAAGGCAAGCACAAAGAATTAGAGAAAAAACGTCTTCAGTTCGAGGATAATAAAGCAAACTGGGAAGCTTAACAATGTGTTTTAGAACAACAGAACTCTTCAAGAACCTTGGAAAAGAACAAGAAGAAAGGGAAGATCTTTTAAACTCTATAGATCACCAATTACATATTAACTGCCAATATGCCAGCTTGGACATCAGTGTTTGTTGGATCCATTTGACCAATCTGCACCAGTTTTATCCATAATCATGGGTTTAACAGCATGATAAAAATTAATGTTTTGTTGTTTTTGATGAAGATTAAGATGCCTTGAATTGTCTAGGGTGTTGTGTACTTAGAAAGTAACAGCTCCAGGTACCTTGCCTCCATTTCCCTTTCCTTTATTTTAATTAAACAGATATCTTCAATTTAATGCAAGAGAACATTTTACTGTTGTACAATCATGGTCTGGAGTTTGCTTATGGGATACTCCAAAATAAAAGGACTCTGGAAGGTTTTCACTGAGGATAAATCGCCAAAATATGATGCAAACTATGCTTCTCTGTGATGATTAAAATACAAAGGCTCCATTCAATGCAGCATATGCAGTAATATAATTTAGTCTAACACAGTTGACCCTATTTCTTGACACTTCCATTGTTTAAAAATGCACACGGGGGAAAAAAAAACCTGTACGTTTACAGTGCACCTAGGAGTGCTTTTTTTATAACAACTTTTTTTGTTGTTTTTGTTTTCGATCCTTTAAATATATATTATTCTCATTTATTTGTGCCCTCTATAGTCAGAATCTCATTATAGTTTCATTTCTGTATTAACATTTAATTTACATATTTCACATACATTGGCCCTGCTAAAATAGAATATATTAATAGTATCTTTTATATGATATATAGGAACCAACAAGAAAATTGCCTTTAACTTCCTTTTAACACTTAATGGTAAGTAGCAGGGAGAAATGCATTCTTAGACCATTTCTAGGCAAAATTGTGAAGCTAACAACCAACCTCTTTTTACCTATATGCAGTCTCTTCATTTTACTAGAAATAGAAATCATGGCCTCTTAAAGAGAAATTACCATTCTGCATTTAGCTGTATTCATACATTACGTTTATGTATTTTTTGTTTATACTGTAAAAAATTCACAGAATTAACAATGTTGTGATATAAAAAAATGAAAAAGTAATAAATTGTCCCAGTATTAGTGAGTGAGTGTG